TGAACTCGTCCATTAACACATAAATAAACCCATCCTTGCTTATTTGGTAGGAAATAAATAGTACCAAATTATCTAAGGTTGTTCATTTCAACTCTGCCCCAGAAAGTAATGCCCGAAAGGATTTATTCTGTGTTTTTGTGGGTTTGCAAAACATACTGCCCTTATTGTCCTGACCTGGCTCACAATTCTTGTCTTCACAGTCTGTGAAGGGTCCTCAAAGCTCAGGAAGTGAAGGGATGGTAGAAACAGGAACGTTTGCACATTCTAGTGTGTCACAACTGTCCTAGGATTTGGAATGCCTTACCTGGTATCTACAGGAGAACCAGTCAACTCAGTGAATGCCTTTATGTCATTAATTACTCCTGAGTCAGTTTACATCACTAATGACAGAGCATTTGCTGATGTCTGATTGTCTAAATGGCTTAGAAGGGGACCAAGGAGTTTAAAATATGCTCCTTGACTTCAAACATACTACATTCTAGCTGAAAAGAATAAATTCACAGGAATACAAGATTCTAAACTCCAGAGATTACCCTTCCCCACTTATATTCCACAGAGATAATCCCTAAACCAAAACATGTACTGAAAAAGTGGTCTGGTGAATCAAAAGGCTCAGAGTTGAGCCTACACTCCTGCAAACTGTGTGAGCACCTGTCAGAAAACAACCAAACTCCTAGCTCAGACACCTTGCCTATAAGGTGGAGATTTAGAATAATAATGTCTCAAAGTTTCTTGTGAGATTTAAATGAGATAATATGTGCACAAGTGTTCTCTGCCCTGTAGTAAAATGTGAGCGGTGAGGTTTATAAAGAAGAGACTTTCTGCTACTTTAAAACAGCTCTGTCTATAGACTTAACACCTGTCTGTCTAAATCTCATTATTTCTCAGAAAAGTATGTCCAGAAATGATACACACCAACTCTAGGACAGTGGTTACCTCTGGGAAGGAAAAAAGTAAGAAGGAATGGGAGTAAAATGAAACTTTAGTTATATTTTAATATTATATTTATATTTTTTAACAGAGATCAGAAATGAAAATGACAAAATGTTTACCTGTGTGAAAACAAGGTGGCAAGTGCAAGGGTGTCGGTCACATTTTCTTTCCCTTTTTATGTGTTGAAAAAATGTCAATATTTACACTTTGAAAAGCCCACAGGAAAGTCTCTTAACACATATTTGTCTCTGCAGGGGGGATTTAGGTTCATAAAATATTTCCAATTTTCTCTATTTTTTAACCTTCTCTAATATATATGTAATATTTCTTAGCTATATGGGAAAATTAGAAAAATTAAAGGCTGATGATGGTTGACAATAGCGACAAAACACTGGATTGTGATAATAGATGATGAAGAAGAGGGGGAAATGGCATTGCAGATATGCCATTCTGTGTCACACAGTGTTCCGCTCTTAGGCTGTTGAGACCACAGAAGAAGGAAGATGAACAAGGAGCCTACATTCACTGGACATCTGTCCGCTCTGTTGACAGGTGCCTGCAAGGCGTTTTTCAAATTTTACTTCAAGACTGTATAGTTTCTGTTTTCTTTCTAATGTCAAACAGACATCCTCTGATAGGAAGACAGTTTTGTTTTCTGACGAGCTCTCCAAGAAAGACCACCAACTTCCTGGGTGATTGAGCATCAGTGTATTGAATCTAGCGGCAGACCATTCTGCTGCAGGTCAGGATCATGTATATTTTTACGAACTCTGCCTATCCTTTTGCTTCCTCAACTTAAAGCTCTCGGGGGTGGGGGAGGGGGTGTTCCAAGACATGAGTGTGTTTCTTGTGAATCATTGGAGGTAGGGTTAGGAGCTCCAAAATCATCTGCGTCAACTTTAGCTTAACTCTCTACAAGCAAAGTCTATAGAAATTGCTGGAAGAAGCTAAAAATAGTCACATCCTTCTCAAAATCTGATCTTCCTTCCTACTTTTGCTTATGAATTGGGTATACAGGAGGAGTGGTACATTGGCTCTTATATTTCAGACTTGAAATGATGCTAAGGGCTCTTTCAGTGGAAGATGGAGAGAGAGGAGCAGCTGAGATCTAGTCCCTAGTCATCAATTTTATGTCCTCAATAATAATCCATGAAAGGCCTGGGACTTGGGTGATGGCCATGACTTTTTAAATCAACTTCAGTTTGATTAGTAGATCCAGGTGCCTATCTGTACTTCTGTGGTAGATTCCACACACACAGCCTACTGTCCCAAGGCTCATCCTGGACTGGTCTTCATACAGAGAATATGTACATGCCTACCAGGGCACAACTAGAGAAGAGAAATGTACGAGGAACACTGAACAGAAACTTGTATCTAGTGAATAGTACTGAGTTTTGTATGGACAAACCAGAAATTTTACCAGAGGTGTTTTTTTTTTATTTCAGAAGAAAGCTTTCCTTTATTTTTTAAAAGATTAATTTATGTATTTAAAAGAGAGAACATGAGTGGGGGGAGGGGCATAGGGAGAGAGAGAATCTCAAGCAAACTCCTTGCGGAGCACAGAGCTGGAAGCAGGGCTCTATCACACAACCCTGAGATCATGACCTTAGCCAAAATCAAGAGTCAGACACTTAACCAGCTAAGTCACCCAGGCACCCCTATCAGTGGTATTTTTAATGTAAATTTTATTGAAGTGTAGCATACGTATCAATAGCGTTTTTCTTTTTAATATAGCTGTGGTACAAATCAACAGGTATAAGTTTCAGCTATGCTGGGTGAATTAGTTCTGGAGATCTGTACAACTTGGTGCCCATGGTTAACAGTGCAGTACTGTGCACTTCAAAATCTATTGAGGGTAGCTCTCATGTTAAATGTTCTTACCTCAGGGGGAAAAAAAGGTCAAAGGGAAGCAAGGAAGTTCTGAAAGATGTTGGATATGTCTGTTACCTTAACTGATAATGGCATCATGGGTGTTTGAATATGTCCTCTTAAGTATACATTTAATATGTACAGATCTTTGTATGTCAGTTATACCTGTTAAAATAATAGCCATGTAAGTTATATTGAAAAATAAAATACTTACTGAAAAATAAACAAGTATTAAATATAGATTCCCATGAATTTTCTTCAAGAGAATACCAAACAGCCATAAAATATGAAGCAGAGCATTACCAGCATTCCAGAAGTCTCCTTCTGGAAGGTCTCCTTCCATTCATTACCCTGCTTCCAAGGGTAACCCATAACCTGACTAATAACATCATAGAAAACTTTTGCACTTTTTAAACCTAGTATAAATAGAATCATACAATATGTGCCCTTGTATTTTTTAATTTTAATTTTTTACTGAAATATACTTGACTACAATATTATATTAGTTTCAGTTGTACAATATAGTGATTCAACAATTGTATATGTCATGAAATGCTCACCATGATGGGTGTAGTCACTGTCACCATACAAAATTTTTATAATATTATTGACTATATGCCTGATGCTGTACTTTTCATCTCCGTGACTTACTTATTTTATAACTGGAAGTTAGTACCTCTTTCAATATGCAGTGTTTCCTGTCTGTTTCTTTTATTCAGCATGATGTTTGTGGTGCTCGTCTACATTTCTGCATGCAGCGACAGGTCATTCTTTTTTATTGTTGTGAAGCAGTAAAATGTATATTTATCATACAATTTATCCATTTCACAATACAGATTTGGTGTCTCCCAACTCTGGGTTATAATGAATATTATTTCTTTTCGTGAACAGACATAGGTATTTCTATTGAGTGTAAACAGTGGAATCCTAGTGTGTTTCAGTTGTAGTCATAATAACAGTCAGCTTTGGCACTTGCATTAATGTGTAGCTGCAGCCCAAGCATTAAATACAAGAGTAAATCTCAGTATTCTAGTAGTTGACTATATAAGTTATGGGGTTTTTGGAGTAATATTAAAATAAATTTATACTGATATTTTTAATGGTATATAGACTAACATTTATGTTTGTGATATGATCTTAAAATACATTTTTATATAATTATCTGTTAGGAAAAGAAGCACATATATGTAGTTCTAGTTATATTATTAGAACTATTCATTCTTTTTTTTAAGATTTTATTTACTTATTTATTTGACAAAGAGAGACACAGGAAGAGAGGGAGCACAAATGAGAGGGGGCAGTGAGAGAGGGAGATGCAGGCTTCCTGCTGAGCAGGGAGCCTGATGTGGTGCTCAATCCCAGGACCCTGGAATCATGACCCAAGCCAAAGGCAGACACCCAGCAACTGAGCCATTCAGGTGCCCCTAGAGTTACTCACTCTTAATTAGCTTGGATGTTGTTACACATTTTATTTTTTTTTTAAGATTTTATTTATTTATTTGACAGACAGAGATCACAAGTAGGCAGAGAGGCAGGCAGGAGGGGGGTGAAGCAGGCTCCCTGCTAAGCAGAGAGCCGGATGCGGGGCTCGATCCCAGGACCCTAGGATCATGACCTGAGCCAAAGGCAGAGTTTTTAACCCACTGAGCCACCCAGATGCCCCTTGTTACACATTTTATAATATACCTTGATGTATAGTTTTTTTTTAATGAAGACATAAAAATTCAGATTTTGGAAAATGTAGTTGATTTTTCACTATTGAAAGGAAAGCATCTATAAAAGATGTGTACACATGCAATGATTTATTTTGTAAAAAACACAGCTTGATCTACAGATGTTCAATTAGTAAAATCATTTTTATTATTAAACATTTCATTGAGTGATTATATACTGAGATTACATCCAAAGCATCATGTGCAACTTCCCTTTTAAAAACTTTCAGAACTTTTCAGTCCTTGAAGCAGACTTAGATAATGACCACAGATAAGCATCCAAGTCCCCCTGTTGGGTATTTGAGAACGGAACAGCAGCCAGGAAGCAGGAATGCAAGCCAGGCGCTGTGGTCCCAGTTCACCACTTTTCATAGACTGCTTCACTCACCTGCTTTACACACAGAATTCTTCCTTGTCTGTAAAACTGAGTTGTTTCTCGCCACCGTGTATGCTGATTTCTGTCTGTTCCTCTTGTGGAGATGGTAGAAGTTTGATAAGACCCTATCTTAAAATGTAAAATTAAAATCTGTAACCAAGATGCAGTTTCTGCAGCTTCCTGAGAGATATGAACCTGGCTCAGAGAAAAGGAAGAAGGTGTGGGGAGCTAAGCTGACCTCCTAGAAGTTGAAAAATATCAGTATATGTATCTCTGATAGCCCCCAACCCTCTGCTTTTTATAAATGTATCTCTCTGGTTTTGCTTCTATATTCAGTCTTTCCTATTTTACCAAGCATGTGCAGACTTGTTGCTCACCACGCTAACTGTGGACAGTGCAGTCAGTGCAATGGCAGCCCACTCTACAGCACGTACACACATACACAAAGACAGTACGGTGCGGCGCAAAATCCAACGATCTCTAGTCCCACTTCCCCTGGCCACTTTGGAGAACTTGTCAAGGGACTACTCTTAGTTTGCTTCAACCTAAAAGCAATTAAATACTGCTTAATCTCATTAGGAAATTATGAGAACTAATGGGACACATTTGAGGGAAAGTTCCTTGGAAAATGTATGATTTCAACCTATAAGATTGTTTTTGGTCCTCAGATACTCTGAAGAAGGGTTTTTTGAGGAAACAGGACAGTCAAGCTACAATGGTGAGTACAGGCTCTGTTCGTTCTCCTGCTGTTCTTCTACCAGGATAGTAACATGGCTGTGTGTGTGTGTGTGTGTGTGTGTGTGTGTGTGTGTGTGTGTGTGTGTTTGTGTGTGTGTATGTTTATACACATGCACTTGCATATGGAGGCATAAGAATGCTGGCTGAGCTTTAATTTCCTGTCTATTGGTGGTCACAAGGCAATCCAGGAGATCCAAACGAGGGAGTAAATGTTGGCTCAGAGCTGACAGACTAACAACTAGCACTAAAGATTATCTGCCGTCAGTGGTTGCTCAGCTAACAACCACTGCTATGGGAAAAGAGTTTTATAAGATGTGTGTGAGTACACGCTCCCATGTGCTCACTATCTGACAGAGGATTGTATACATGACTATATGATATAGGGGACAGGTTAATTACAGGTGCTTGTTTATGTCTTTCTTTTTTTGTTTATGTCTTTCTAAATCAAAATATGAATGTGACTTCTGAGGTAGTATATGTAGAGCTGGGGGAAATTTTGCAAATGTGATGTATGACATGATTACGTGGTTACAGATGTTCATATGTACAGGTGTGTGTGTGGTGTGTGTGTGTGTGTGTGTTTGTGTGTGCGCGCACACGCAGGCCTATTTTCTCTGACTTTTGCTTTATTTAACAGGGTGCCTCAGCCACGGAACCAGCTTTGAAGATGACTTGACTCTAGGAGCAGAGGGTAAGTGGCACAGCCCGCTGATGTTGGAATCAAGGAAGGGGATATATAAGAGATGAATTCAGGGTAGATTGAAAGGGAATAGCTATAGAAAGAAACAACCTATTCCCTGGGGTCTTACCTGTGGGGAAAGAGCAGTCTCATTATGAACTAATATTAAAACTCATTAAGCTTCATGTGCCCAGAAATACTTCTTCACCAGCCTGACATGACATCTACCAGTCCATCATTAGGGCTCTCATCTGTCCCCTGGGAGGACAACATATAAAATCACCATAACGTTGGCTGCCCAGACATCTTTAAAACTGTTTTCTGTATAGGAAACCCAAAGCAGCCTGAACAGTGGGTATAAGTAGGAGATCACACTGAAGGAGAGAAGAACTTGAATAATGGATGGAGATGTGGCAACCTACCAGTGTCTCCTGAGACCTGTGGAAACTCATGATGTGAGGCAGGAACACTAGCCTGAAGGGCTGAATGATGTTCTCTTCCTCAGAACAGAGAAACTCTTGCCTCAACACCAGTCATGGTATATAATTCAGATGCTCTGGACCACTTCCTCCCTGCCATATCTGCCCCCCTTCCTGGTCTATGTTTGATGAACTTTAGATACCCCACAAAGAGCAGAGTTCATGGGGCTCAACTAGCCTGTAGTAGTGGCAGAGGGGAGTGAAGGGGACTGAGTGTTACTTACAGAGAGGCAGCTTAGGTGATTTTCATTTTCCTTTCTAACTTTCTCTTTGCCTTTCTGTTCCTTGTGCAGCCACACTATTGGCCACCGAAGGCAGGGTCTTCTCCAGGTAAGTGTTAGGTTCCCCCAGACTGAATGATGTCTTCTTCAGGAGCTACTGAACTGGTGTAGTTGGCAGAGACAAAGAGATGAAAAATAAAGCGTCCAAGAGTCACAAGAGAGTGAGATTTCCCAACCAGGAATGAGGCCCTAGACTGAGCTTTCCCAGTAGACGATAGAAGGTACCCAGCAGGGAGTAAATATGCCCAGCAGAACATGTCTTGGATCCAGGATGCAGACTGCTTACAAGCTTACAGTGACATCAACTCTGATCCCTGCAGGAGTTTCCTGGACCCAGTCCGGCCCTGCCAACTCCTTGATCTTGGCTGCAGCTTGGCCTCCAGCAGCATGACTGGTGGCACCAACAAGACTAGTTCAAGGTAGGTATTGGGTCTGGCAGGGGTGTAAGGGTGGGAAAGAGGAGAGGCCCAAGAGAATGGAACCAAGAACCTGGTCCATTTTTTGGGGGATACCTTACTGGAGGTTTTATGCACTCACATACTTGAAAAATATGGCCATATTTACTTCAAGAACACTGAGGCATGTGGAGGAATCTACTGCTCAGATCTGGATGCTCTGTAAAATAAAGGTGACCTTGTACCACAGGAGGTATAGCATGAGGGTCATCATCACAGTCCCTGGACTTATAGTAAGTGCTCAATCAACAATTAATGAAGGTATTGATTGGTTGGTTGATTGAATGAAACAGTAAAATATTAATTCACTCGGGCAATCTCCTATCCCCCAATGCCGGCCAGGCATAACTACGTGGAATTAGAGAAGACGAAGCAAAGTGCTTGCCCCCAGGAGCTCAACAGTCAAAAAGAGTGAACAAAAGACATACACAAAGAACTTTTAAAAAGATAGAAAGTGATGAAAACTAATGTGGTATAATAAAAAGTATTTGGAATTTGGTGTCAAAGTTTGAATCTGAGAACCGGTCCTTGGATTTATTAGCCATGGAACTATCGGTAGTGATTTGTCTTTACTGAGCTACAGCCCTGGCCAGACCCCACTTCAATTATGTCAGAATCTCTGGAGATAAGACTCTGATATCTGCACGTTTTTATCGAAGTACACTTGACATACAAAGCTATAGTCATTTTGGGTGTACAACATAGTGATTCAACAATTGTATACATTATGCTGTGCTCACCACGGTGAAGGCAGTCACCATCTGTCACATACCATGTTATTACGGTATTACTGACTATATGTCTTATCCTTGTCATCCCGATGACTTATGTCTGTAGAATGGGTAGTTACTGAGCTCTCATGTCACCCAGCTTGGTGGCACACAGATTTGGATGTAGGTACATGTGAGTGCCGTTCCAAGAGATAGAGAACTTGATCTTCTGTAATACAGGGCTTCTGTCCTGAAAATAGTGCTACAAAAGGGTCTACCTCTCAAAATCATGTTTTGAACATACCTGCATTGGATATTTTTTACCCTCAGGGTAACAATAGAGTTTTGTGTTTCTTACATACTTCCTGCCTCATTGTCCCACACAGCCATGAGGTGAAGCTGGGGAGCAAGCTGCAAAGCTCTAGGCAAAAGCCAGCCAAACCATAGTGTGTGCAGGTGGGAAAGGATTGATTAATAACATAACCACAAGATTTCTTGAACTCTAGTATGCTTTTGATTTTTTAAATCCTTCTCATAGCACATTTTCATTCATCTATCATGGTGTTTAAAGTACTGCCTGAGTGGCTCAGTTGGTTAATCGTCTGCCTCTGGCTCAGGCCAGGGTCCTTGGATCAAGCCCCGTGACCCACTCCCTGCTCGCCAGGGTATTTGCCTTTCGCTCTCCCACTACCCCCCCCCCCCCCCCGCTCATGCTCTCACTTGCTCTGTCTCTCTCCCTCCCTCAAATAAATAAATAAAATCTTTTAAAAAATCAAGTACTGTGATAGCATCTAATCCAATTTTTAAACCAAGGCTGGATTGTAATTCCATGTTTCATACAGAAAATGTATGTTCGCAGAAGTGAAAGTTTTTCTCAAAGTCAGGATGGAAGGTAGAGAAATGATCGGAAAGGTAGCTCAGTCTCCTAACACATTTATTAAATACTCTGGATGACCGTGTAACTCAAAGTTGACCCTATTTACCAAACTCCTTCTTTTCAGCGTCTCTGAGATTCTGGACAAGGTGCAAGAAGATGCAGAGGATGTCCTCTTCAGTCTGGGCTTTGCCCAAGAGGACCACAAGGACACTTCGCGGATTCCTGCCCGATTTTTCACCACCCCCTCTCAGGCCAGAGGCATTGATTTCCAGCTTTTCCTGAAGGCCCAAGTGCAGAGGATAGAGATGGAGGACCCTTGCCTCATGCTGGCCAGTGAGTGTTCCCATGGATCTGTTCTACTTCTCTGCCATTCACAAAAGGGATCAGTGGCTCCAGATCCCGCTTTTTCTCAGTCAGCTTCACTCCACCCTTTGTCTTCTGTGTCTATTTCTCGGCCTCCTTTTCAGTGAAGATGGAGAACTTTGATGTCTGCTTATTCCTCTTAAAGAAATAGTCATCAAGAGACCTCATATCACTACTGCTTTCTTAGGCTTTCTCTCCTTCAGCTGAATCAAATGAGAACAGTGTCTTTAAGTCTTATCCTTGTTTTTTTTATCATTTTTTTATTTATTTTCAGCATAACAGTATTCATTGTTTTTGTACCACACCCAGTGCTCCATGCAATCCGTGTCCTCTCTAATACCCACCACCTGGTTCCCCCAACCTCCCACCCACCCCCACCTCTTCAAACCCTTCAGATTGTTTTTCAGAGTCCTTGTTTTTATTTTCGGTTGCAACAGTAGAATGTTCCCTTTTTACAGCCACTGCATTAAAATCATTTCCTTTTAGAGTAATAATCTCAAAGTTCTCAAAGGTAGATATGTTAAATTGTCCAGGGACTTTATAAAACATTCAAATTCATAGGTTTTTTTTTTCCATAGAGGGAAAGGCTCAGGAGTATTTATTTTAAACAAGCACATGGGATTCTTATGTATAATCTTTAGAACACATCCAGGGAAACAATTATTTAAGTTGTTCTGATTTCATATTAAGGAAAGATATGAGAGGGTTTCTCTACCTGGATGAGGCATAAAAGACTCTGTTTGATTATATATATTAGAATATGTTTCAAATTATATTCTGCTACACCCCCAATATGATTGCATTTCTGACAGTATTGTTTCAGATTCTTTGCATCAGATTCAACTTAAAATAAGCTTGGTAAAACCATGCTCCTGAGCTCTACCTGTTGCAACAAAGATTTTGAGTTAGAGTATCTTCACAACCTTAGATGATTCTTATGCACACTATTAGAATATAATTGATTGAATTTATTTTATGTACTATGCACATAATTAGGTGTTAAATTCTGGAAAAATGGACTAGGCAAGAGGTACACAATTCTTAAACCTTTTGGAAGCCTACAGTTTAAGAGATGTGTGGCTTATCAAAATGTTTTTCAAACATGGATGTCCATATGAATTACCAAAAGGTATTGTTAAAATGCTTGAGATACAGTCTGAGATTCTACATTTATAACAAGCTCCCAACTAGTGCCAATGCTTCTGGGCTATGACCACACTTTGTGAAGCAATGTCTAACAGAATGATAAAGTCATAAATGTGAGCCCCACGTTGGGCATAATATTTACTTTTTAAAAAATGGTATCAAAAGTTCTCTACCCTAGTCTATTGGCTAGTAATTGTCATTATTCCAATTTGTTTATACTCTGAAGCATTCTAAAACCCTGAAGTTTTGTTATTGTCTAAGAAAATGAGATTGGTTTTGTCCTTTATTTTGGTCATGTTTGTCATCTAAAGCAAACAGTAATTGAAGCCATTGTTTAGAACATACTGACAGCAGAAAGGATATGTGAAATCAAGATATAGAAAACTTCCCCATCCCATATAGAATTAATTTTTGGACTGAAGGAAAATATCTATTCAGATGGGGAGTCAAGAAGTCAAGAAAGTCAACAAAGGGGATCCTGAGTATGAGAAATCAAAATGGGAAAAACGCTGGTAGGGAAAATGGCATCTTCCTTCTGAATTTTGAGCTTTAAGAAGGCTTTGAAGGAAGAGATACAAGAGATAATTTGCTGATGACCCCCAGATTCACCATCTTCAACCCTTGTGTCCAGGCAGGTTTAAGCAGGTGCAAACACTGGCTGTCACTGCTGATGCCTTCTTCTGTCTCTACTCCTATGTGTCTAAGACACCTGTCCAAAAGTTCACACCATCCCACATGTTCTGGAATTACAATCCAACTGATGTGCCATCCATCAGGATTCTGGCTCCAGAACCTGAACCTCAGTCACCCAGAGACCGCCTCCGGAAAGCCATCTCCAAGATGTGCCTGTATACAAGCCCCCGAGATCGGCTGTCACCACCCCATAATATCCCCAAAAGGAACAGTCTGGACCAAGTGGTGTGGGAAGTAATGGACAGAGTGAGAGGAGAAAAGATGGTCTTCCAGCAAGACCCTGGATTTGAGCCAGGCTCAGAGGAAGATCCGGTACCACTCATCAGGGATACAAAGCTACCCACATTTTCCGGACCATGTGCTCTTTGCCCCAGAGAGGAAACACAGCAGGGAATGTCCACAATGCAAGCACCATCACAAATTCTGGATCCTAAACCAGAGGCAACCCCTTGCATGCATTCTCTGCCCTTACAGCGGAGCACAGACCCTGCACAGGTAAAAAGAGAGCCATGGGGTCTACAGGCCACCAATAAGGAAGTCCATTTGGCCAAGGATGAGACTTTCTGGAGAAGAAAGAGCAGAGCAAAAAAGAGCTTGTTTCAGAAGAATCCCATGAGCAGGAGAGTTAAGTCATTGGACCTGTCCATCATGCAGCAGAGCCGAGAGCAACCAGCATGGCACCAGTCTCTAACCCAGCAGCTACAGGACACTTTTGACTTGGAGGAGGCAAGTGAGTTGGGGGCAAGAGAGAGGCTGGCAGAGAAAGGTTCTGGATTCTTTCCTTTCAGTAAAGGGAATCCAGGCTCCCTGTCCTCACCAGATATACCAACTCTTGAATTACATTCCAAAAACTTTGGGAACCAGTTAATAGAGAAGAAGAAAGATAAATAGGCTTAATTTCTTAAGATCATCCAGGTTTTCAGGCTTTTCTAATTCCTCATCTGATCTGATCTTCACTGAAGTTCCTCATCAAGCACACCTGGCTCTATCATTTGTGGGACCTGCACTAGAATACACATAGAGGCTAGTTATACACTAAGCTAAACACTAGTAAATAAAATATGCTCTCTTCTACCTTAGTAAATTTGTAACCATAAATACCTGGAGGTCCAGGTTCAAAGTTAATATTCTCAGATTCTTAGGACTTCTGTGCTAGAACATGGCAGTGTGGGCAGAGCCACTCCCCAGCTCAGGAATATCCCCTTCTCTTCCCATGCCCAGATCTATCCTAGACCTTAAGGGATTTCA